GGTCCGCCACGCCTACAGCTTCCATCAGAGCAGCGAGGAGGCTGGCGACTTCCTGGCCCATGCAGACCTGCAGAGGCGCAACTCGGAGTACCTGGTGGAGAACGCACTGCATCTCCATCTCATTGTCAAACCCGTGTACCACACCCTCATCAGGACTCCCAGTTAGCCTGTGGATTGACAAAGTAAAGGCCTGGCCTGGATGGCGCTCCAGGGTCTGGGGAGGGGTAGGCGAGCGTTGAAGTGACTGCCAGCCTGGGTCCTGGGTGTCCAAGTACGGCTGGTTGGGGCTAGGGTGGAAGGCAGGTGAATGTGGTAGGCAGGATGGCTATGCTTTCAGAGAGCCTTTCCCTGCTGATTGGAAGTCAGCACTCTTGGTCCAGAATAAACCCATGCTGAGGGACTGAAGCAACTCCGAGTCTCAAAAGTCTGCGGTTCGCATGCCCTCCACTGAGCTTTTCCCAAAGAGTTCCCATCCAGACATGAACCAGGGCAGGGAAAATGACCTAATGGTCAATGATTGACAGCCAGCATGGGCAATCTCCTCTTGGATAGGAATTTTCTCCTATGAGGCGAAGGTGTTCCATGAGCTGCGACCCCTAGTGGACAAGCGCCCCTCAGCTTGTGAGGCTTTCCGTCTCTGCCTACATCAAGTCCTTGGGCTCTTGCAGAGGGGTCCAGGCTAGCGGAAAGGCCCTAGAGAGACTGCCACAAACTAGATATTGCTCTAGCTCCATCTTTTTGGGGAGTGAGAGTCTTGGCATCTTGAGGGAAAAAACCATTCTCCAGATATGTGTAGGCTTGTGCCAAGGGAGATGGAGTGCTGGGGGTGAAAGGGCCAGGGACTGGATGAATCCTAGGACCAGCTATGGCACATTCCAAAAACTCTAAACACAACCATCAAAACCCCAGTAAGACTTTATTTAAAAGAAAAGCCAAAAAAAAAGTTACAAAACCAGACACCCTCCCCATTCCTCCCCACCCTATGTGAAGTCCTGTGGGCTCCTTTCCCATCCCCCACCCCTTTGCCCAGGTATGGGCCTGGGAGTCCTATCTCACTAACAGCTCCTCTCCCCCATTGCAGAAGCCAAGATAGGCCCCAGGTCTGTGCAAATTTTTGGCAACAATGTTCTGTCCCGGGTTGGGAGGCCAAGCTGTTGGGGCTCGCCCTCCCTTTCTGGTGGCATGGAGAGCATGGGAGAGTTCCTGACGCAACCCCACCCCCACCGTTTCCAGGTCATGGGAGGCCAGCCCTCGAAGCTCTTGCTCCATAGGGTCCCCATCTGCCTCGCTTCTACCTCCCAGTTCCTGCTACACCCTGTTCAGTGCTGGGAGCAGAAGAGTAGGCCCCAGGGCCCCTCAATTATGCCGGAGGCGTCCATCTTTGCCAAGAGTGCTTGAACCATGGGGCAGGCTGGGCCCACGAGTAGCTCTACGGGAAACACCAGCTGGGTTGGGGGCAACAGGAAGGGGTGAGGGGTGTCCAGAGCCTAGGACAGGGGAAAAGCCAGCATCAGGCGCTGAGGAATGCCTCCCCTCCCCACAACACCCAGGGACCTTGAACTTCTTAGGGGGACAACCCCAGTTTGCTAACCTCACCGATACTGCTTCCCGAATCACACTCCCAACTAGGGGCAAGAGCTCTGTATGTCTCCCCCTCTGTGCTAGTCAAGGCTTCTCCCACCCCGACCCCTCCTTTGTTGGTACTGACCTGTGTTCTGGCCTGGAGGAAATTTGACCTTGGCCAGAGGCAGCGTGACCTTTGCCAAATGCCTGACACCAGGGGATGGCCGCCCACACACTGGCATCCTTCGGTCTGAAATGCCCTCGGAGGGATGAGGCCCCAGCAGGTGTGTGTTGGGACGAGACATCTGCACAGTTGGAAAACAGTGAAATGGGGCTGAGAGATGCTACAAAACCCATTCCTAGCTACTTTATCAGGCTGGGAACGTTGCATTCCAGATCAGGGCCTCTGTGGGTAGCTAGCGAATGGCTGAAGTGTCCTGTAGCTTCTCGGGGGAGCTAGCCCTCGGACCCTCACCCATTAGGAAGGGGAGCAGACATCTCACCCCCTGCGTCTTGCCTCACCCCTTGTCTTGTGACCTCGAAGGACCGAGACCTCCGCTTCCTCCTCTTCGCCTCCAGTGACTCCTCCCTTTTCTTGCTAAGGCTTTTCTTCTGAGCACGCACCCAGGGTCCAGTGCCATCACGTCGAGGTCCTACCGCCCGAGAGGGGCCCTCGCCGGTGCTGCTGGATAGATTGTCCTCGCTGATAGCATGGTGCAGGGTGGGGCTGGGCGGCCGCTTGCAGGCCAGTGGACCAGATGGACGAACATCTTCAGCCTCACTCAACGAGTGGAGGGACAGGCTGCTGCGTTCTGCGGCAGGTGCCAGCAGGTGGCGCCCCTCCGATCCCAGGGCCCGGGAGCGCCGCTGGGCGGCCTTCACGGAGATACACTTGGTCCGAGTCAAGATCTCTTTCTTCTCTACAGCAGATACCCAAACCAAGGATAAGGCCCACTTCCTACACCCCTTCCTCACGGGTCAAAAGTGGGCAAGAGCCAGGACTCGCAGATTTCACCCCCAGAACTCTAACTCACTAGCTCTTTGAGAAACTTGGGGTGCCCCCTCAGAACCTGAATTTCATTTGTAAATGGGAATTACAAAAACAAATACTCTGGGGCTACTTCAAAGATTGAGAGTCTAGACTGGTGTCTCACGCCTGCAATCTTAGCTCCTCAGGGGGCTGAGGCAGGAAGATAAAAAATTCAAGGCTGGCTGGCAGATACAGAGCAGGCAGATCTCTATGAGTTTTGAGTTTGAGACCAGCCTGGTCTACAGAGAGAGTTCCAGGACAGTCTGGGCTACATAGTAAGACCCTGTCTTAAAAAAAAAAAAAAAAAAGGCCTGCCAAATAGGCAACTTAGACCTGATCTCAAAATTGAAAGTGAAAAAGGGACGGGATATAACTTAGCAGGAGAATGTCTCTTGTGTGTGAGACCCTAAATTCAATCCCTATTACCACCTCTCCAAAACAAAACAACAACAACAAAAACATGCTTTAGACAATGGGTTTAGTCTATTTGTCTAGGGGGCAGAGATTCAATTAGAATTTGCTAGAATCCAGTGGGAAGGGGGTGACAAGTGTCCCTATTTTAGCTTAGTTTTTGTTTTTTGTTTTTCAAGACAGGGTTTCTCTGTGTATCTTTGTAACCTGCCTGGAACTCACTCTAGACCAGGCTGGCTTCGAACTCATAGAGATCCACTTGCCTCCCGAGTGCTGGGGATTAAAGGCGTGCACCGCCACCACCCAACCAAGCCTCCCGATTTTATTTCTGATTGTTCCCCATCTTCTGTGTGTCCTTCTGGTACAGCCAATGAATTGGTATCTTCATCAAGGACAGAGAGGAGGAAGGAGCTCCGGGCTTGGTCATCAGAACAGTTTAGACAATGCCAGGCAGTGGGGGCCAGGGCATGTGAAGTTCACACCCACCTTTATGGGACAGAGGGGTCTCTGACAGGTTCTCACTGCTGTCCGGGGAAGAGTTGATCTGGCTGCCCAGGCTGTCCTGTGGTGGGGCCTAAGGGGTAAACCATTTGAAGACAGCAGGGGCCCCCGCACCGCACTCTGCAGAGGCTGTGTGGCCTTGGAGGGGCTAGCCACTTTGGAAGAAACCCACCCACTGCTGGGCACCCAGATCTCACCTGCTGGGTCACCAGGGTGCCCACCTGGATGGGAGGTGGAGTGGGCACAGAGGAATTCTTCGCCTGCCAGGCCCTGGGACTGGCCTTGAACACATGGTAGGACTCACTGAGGAGAAGGAGGAAGCAGCTGTTGACCAGGCTAGTCACACCAAAGTCTACCCCCACCCGAGAGGAGAAACTGTGGGTGCCAAGGGAAAGAGAACCCTGCCTGCGGACCCATGACACCGCCTCACTATGCGTCGGGCTCCATCTTCCCTACGGAGCTGACATTCCTCACACAGGTTAGGTGGCATCAGGAAGTCTCACCTGTCTGTGCCAAGTGGGGGGAGGGTGTTGTTTTGGGGGCGCTGGGCCTCAGAGCTCAGTGTCTTCACACTCTCCAGGTCAGAGTCCGGGGTCAGTGTGGTCCCAGCTCCAGTGATTCTGGGCAAAGAGCTGTCCTGTGTGGGGGGGAGGGGTGATGACAAGGATGAACAGTCAGAAGACTTGTGCCCTGTAATAACAGAGTGACAAAGGCTGTAAGATGGGCTGGGCGACCTGAAGGGCACCTGACCTACGCTCTGAGTCCCCAGCCATTTGGAGTACGCTACGCAGCTCAATGGCCTGGTCCTGCTAGGGCATTAGATCCACTTTTCCCTTGATTTTTAGAAATCAATCAATCAATTAATCCATTTATTGTCTGAGATTGATTCTTGTTGTACAGATAAAGTAGATCTTTCAACTCTCCTGCCTCAACTCCCTAACTGTTGGGATTAAAAACTATCCTATTGGCTAGTGGTCACTTGTCATATCTCAGATGGCCTTTCCTGACCTTGTGACCCTAGGTAGGGGCAAATTGTGAGACCAGGCAGTAATGTCCAAGAATGGGGACCCTCACCCAGGCTTGGCTAGGCAGAGAGTATGGGCAAGAGAAAAAAAAAAAGCAAAAAAAAAAAAGCAAAGCCATTTCATGGAACTTAGCTGGCTTGGTGCTATCCCCATGTCAGCGAATTTAGGCCAGCGGCCCAAGCGCCCACCTGCAGGGCCCTAGAGGCCACACGGTCCATGATGGTGGCCCGCTCCAGACTGCCCTCTTCCAGTTCCCGAAGGTAAACTTCATAGAGTTCCTCCAGCTGCCTGGGAACCTCCAGATTGAAGTCTGTCCATGGGGGGGAAGGAGCGCTGAGGGCTCGGCATGGGCCCGCAGCCCCTCAGACAACGCCCCAGGCCTCCGGGGGTGGGGAGGCCCGGCCCTACCATCGATGATCTGCCGCTGGCCCTGAATGATCTCCTCGCAGAGGCTGCGGTGCTGCTCCAAGCGGCGCACGGCCTCGCGGCGGTGGCGCAGGGCACTGTCGCGGAGCAGAGCATGCGATTGCATCTCGGTGTTTTCCACCTCCAGCTCGTGCACTCGGCACAACAGGCTGAGCACCTCGCGCTGCTCCTCGG